AGTTGAGATTATTTCAGCAACAAGGTTAGAGAATTTTGTCAGTAATAAGCTATAAAGGAATAAAACTATAGCTGATGACAAGGTATTTATATACTAAAAGGTGCATTTAATCATACAGTTAAAATCAGCTAGCATGCTCCTAAAATCAGTTTCTGAAGCTGAAAATTGTAAACTAATGCTTTTACTCAATAGGCTTATCTAACTAAAAAAACTAGATATATTAAAAGTTAATACACATTGGCCGGGTGCAGTGGCTCACACCTGTAATCCCAGCACACCGGGAGGCCAGGGCGGGCAGATCACCTGAAGTCAGGAATTCAAGACCAGCCTGGTCAAAATGGTGAAGCCCTGTCTCTACCAAAATACAAAAATCAGCCGGGCATGGTGGTGGGCTCCTGTAATCCCAGCTACTCAGGAGGCTGAGGCAGGAGAATCACTTGAACCTAGGAGGCGGAGGTTGTAGTGAGCCAAGATCGCACCAATGCACTCCAGCCTGGGCGACAGAGCCAGGCTCCATCTCAAAAATAAAAAAAAAAAGTTGATACACACCAATGAGTGTGTAAAGGAGTGCAATTAGTTGTAAATGATTTAATAAGTAACAAAGTTCAATCATAATAAAGGAAGGTTGAAATTTGTAAGTTACATGACAATTTCTCATAAAGTAAAAATACTGCACATTATAATCATATCAATATTTAAAATATTATCCAACAAAGTCTGGGTAGGTGAGTTAAAATTTCATCAAATGTAAAATATTTAATTCAGAGGCTAATTATTTAACAAATACACTGATTACAATATGCAGACATGTGACAAAGTAACTATTTTATTACATCTTCTCTATCTGCAAATCAAGGTATTTTAAGCTACAAATTCTTTAGAGTACTTGCTGAATAATCACCTACACTTAATATAATTTTACTTTCATATCTTAAATTATACCCTTGTTACCAAAAGCAATCTGAATAAACCCATTCCAAACTGTAATGTAAATTCCTCCCTTATCAAAAGCTAAAAAAAAGATATACCATATAGGTCTATCAATTGTCTAGTTTTCATTACAATTTCAAAAATTATTCAAATAGGTTTTTATAAGACAGTTATCAAAAAGGCCTCTTCATTTAGAGTCTATGATATCAATTCCATATATCAATAGCAGAGACAGAGGCTCCCCAGCTATAGTGATATGCAGAAACTTCATTTGGGAAACTTTTGACCTGGAATCAGTTCAACACCATTTTCTAGACAACTTTCTCAACCTCATTACTTAAATTGTAAAGTTCCTACAGATAATGGCTTTGAAGGGCGTGTGAAGCAAAGGCTGGGGCTCCCTGCTACTTAGTATGGTAACTTAACAGAGGCCTCGCGGCCTGCCAACTGAGGAATTTCTTTTTATTAGAATTACAAATTACATTTTTAAAGAATATCACATTTCCAAAATAGGGTTAAGAGAGTATTTATTGAAAACTTCAGCAACTAAGTGAGCCAAAGAAGTAGATGTGAGAGAAAAGAAAATAGAACTATACTTTATAATCCTAACAAAGGCTTTCATTTATTAACTGCCAGTTATACCTTAGAACTATGATAGGCATTTTAACAAAAATCTCATGTTATCCTTTTAACAACTGTTTAATGTTTAAAGACAATGAACCCCCCAAATCCCATCCTCTCACCTATTCTAACAATTACTGTTATTCTCTCATTTTAAATTTAAAACAATAACAAGACAACAACTCCTAATCCCACTTTCCCTGTCAGCTATACCCGGTTGTTATTCTACCCTTTTATGTCACAGTATATGGAAATAGAAGCCTTGGCACTGTGCAGTGTGTAGCCCAAACAACTATAAGCATGTGTGCTGGAACTGTCTATACTTCAGTTTTTCTCCGCCGATTTTATATTATCTTGAAGCAAACTACAATTAGGCTTTTGCACCCCAACAATCCACTGAAATTGCCCTTATCCAAAGGTCAGCATATCTTTTCTGTAAAGGATCAGATAGCAAACATTTTAGGCTTTGTGGGTCATCCAGTATCATACATTATCCTTTTTTTACAACCCTTCAAAAATATAAAAATCATTCTTAGCTCACGGGTTGTTAAAAAACACAGGTTGTGGGGTAAATTTTGCCTGTAACCTGTAGTTTCCTTACTCCAATAATGTCAGCAAATATCTCAGATGGTCAATTTTCAGTCCTCACTTTATATGACCTATGAGCATTATTTGATCATGTCCTCCTCCTTGAAAGACTTTCTTCATTTGGCTTCCAGGGTATCACTTGCATTGTCTTTGATCTCCTACTACATCACAGGTCAATCTCTTCTATTCTTCTATGCTAGTTCTTCAATTCCCTAGCCTAACACACTGGAATGCCCTAAGGCTCAATCTTGAGTTCTTTTCTCAATCTATTCTCACTGATGGGTGATACTATTCAGTTTCATCTATCTTTCTAGTTGGTCAGGCCAGCTGGGACTCCTTTCTCACACATCACTCTGTATCAGCTAATCCTGTTGCTGTACCTTCCAAATATACCCAGAAGCTGACCACAATCTACTACTACCACTCTGGGAGCCATCATCAACTTTTAACCTGGATTACAGCTATAATCTCTAAATTGGTCACACCATTTCTATTTTTGCCTCTTTCAGTCTATCCACAGAGTACCAAAGAGGACCTAGTCAAAAACAAAGTTAGATCACATTACTCCTCTGCTCAAAATCCCCCCACAGTTTCCTGGATACTCAGAATAAAACCCAGTATCCTTACAAGGCTGATCATGATTTAGCCATCCTGTTTCCAGCTGGAGCACATTTCTCTCTCTTCTCACCCCTTGCCTGTCCTGTTCTGCCATGCTTGCCACCTTGATTCTCTTCAAATGTGTACATCACAATCCTATCTTAGGGTCCGTTGATCCATGCTGCTCCCTAAACCTGGAACAATCTTATCACAAATAGCTTCAAGGCTCACTCCTGTAACTCTCATCCAAATGTTATCTTTCAGAGAAGCCTTCCCTGTCCTTCTAACTGCAACTCTCCTACCACCAATCTCTAGTTCTGCTGTTCCCTTTCTGTTAGTGCTTTTTTCCATAGCACTAATCACAACCATCATCTAACATTATATATGTATTGCTTGTTTACTGTCGATTTACCTACACCAAGTAAGACATCTCAGTATCTTTTCTTTACTGATGTATTCCCAGAGCCTTGAGTATGACATGAACCTAGTAGGTACTCAGTATTTCTCTAAGAATGAATAAAGTACTAATCACTTTAGATCAGGGTCCCACCAAGGATATTACTTCAAGAATAAACTTAAAAATCTTAGAGAAAGAACTTATTTCAGTTTTATCAATAATATAAGACTAACCAACAATCAGCCAAATATTCCCTTTTTAAGTCAAATATTTCTCATAGATTAATAAAAGTACAAGCAATTTGGCTGTATGTATTGAGAGCATTTTCTTAAAGCTTACTCTTTTGCCCTTCAGTTTCACCTCAGCAAGTACCCGTATCATGGAAACAATCCAAAATATGGGAAATACTATGCACATAAACATTCAGAAGTAAAAACTTAGAAATTAAATGTCTAACGAATGTGCTAACGTTGAATAAAGTATGACCCATTTCCTTGACAAAAATAATGTTCATACAATTCATTACTGTTTCAGAAACTTTAGTGGATCAACTTTGCCTTCAAGATAAATTTGGCCTCTCCTTCAGCCTCTTATTTCACCCTCCCCTCTTCATAGCCTATCTTCTAGGCACACTTCACCAGCCCTCTCCTCCCCTAATCTCTAGTTTCTGGAAGACTCTAACATCTTGGTTATGTGCTCTCCTAGGTACTCTGATAGAACTTTCCCACCAAAGTCACACTTCACAGTCATTATGGTAAATACTTCTTCACCGGTCTTTTTCTCCCACTAAAGCAAATACCTAACACCTAGTGTAGTGCCTGATCTTAAGTAGGCAATTTATGCAGAAATGAACTAAGTAATATTACATAAATGTGCTTATGATGCCACTGTAAATTAACGGTGCATTTTGGGTGATTTATATGATCTATTTTCTTCCTTTGTAAATTTGCTAGGTTATCTATGTCAGTAGAGACGGTACAAAGGGAACGAAGATATACTCATGTATGTACATAATGAATCACAATGTAGTAATAACATCATAGTGCCACAAAATTCTTATAAAACCAGTTCCCCAAACACTTCTTTCTTCTTCTCTCAAATCCCAGTAAAAACAATTATGTGAAAAGCCAACAAGGAAGCCAGTTCTCCTATTACCTGAGTGGAGTTAGATAGTTGGTTTTTCCACGGCTCCTCTGCGCTGCTGGTCAGGTTTGTGCGGTTATGAGGTAGAGTGAGTGCGTTTCGCTGCAGGTAAGGCACGTTTCCATTACTTCCACTTCCTGTTATATGATTATTGCCTATCAAAATAGTGTCTGTACTTCCCAGCGTTCTTGATGTGCTACAGGGAACATGGCCTGCAGAAAAGGGTCCATTGGCTAAAGGCTGCCCAGGGCAGGCAGGACGAACTCCAGGCTGAGAGACGCTAGGCACTCTGGTCAGAGCAAGCTGTGGCTGCTGGCCAGAGACTGAGTTTGTAGGCAGTGATGAGTCAGCTGTTGGCCCGTTAGGAATTCCAGTAGATCGTACCTGTGCAACTCCTGTTGGTCTCATCTGTCAAAAAACAAAGGAAAAGTAAATGCTGGTTGTGTAATCCAAAAAAAAGAGAATCTATAGGGAAGAGAATATGAAGATGTATAATTAGGGAACGTGTGATTTTACCCAAACGCTTAATTTCTCTAAGTTGAGAAACACATACTTTAAAAACAAGAAATTATATTTGTTCATTTTAAAATAAACTTCCTTGAAAAAGCAGAAATCTGTTTCAAAAAAAAAAATCCCATTAGTAATGACAAAAGGAAGCAGCTGAAAATTATAGAAAACGACCCAGAACTTATAGGTCCTTCTCTCAATCACAAAAGTGGGGACATCTCAAAATTTCATTCTGTTACATCCATGCCAGATCCTGTAAACTAAATAAGCCCTAAAAACCTTGCCTCAGTACTAAATAATGTAAACAAATCCTTAGAATACATGTGAAATATCATGTAAATAAATACAATACAAAGTATTGTGTTCAAAATGAAACTTACAGTTGCTTTTGTCTAAAAATCTCTGTCAATTACCCGTATTTTAAGATACAGAGATTACTAAATTCTGTCAAACACTAGTAGAAAGTAAAAGTGAACATAAACATGCTCTAAAATGACATTAGAGTCAATAAAAATACTCAAAATGCTAACAAATTTTAGGGAAAAATATGCTATACACACTTGGTGTTGTTGCATTAAGACAAACTGACTTTCCAGCTGTTCCAGCATCAGTTTCTGTGCTGGATTTAAATTATTTCTATTTGCGCGGAGCTGTTCCAAGTGCTAGAAGAAGAACAAAAAGAGAATATAGTCAAAGATATATTTAGGAAATAAGATCACTATTCTAAGCAACCTTTCCCTGAAATGACTAAACTCAGAACCACTATCTGGTCAAACATACTGTCTTCTGACCAACAGTCATACAAGACGAAGTCCTTTAATAAGCTTGAGAAATGTAAGAATGAACTAAGCATTCATATGAACAAGATTTACTATGAGTTCTTTGTACTAGATGGGCATGAAATTTTACTCATCCATACAGTATTCTTAGGTATTCAAACAGAAAGCTCTTGAAGCTTAAAAATATATTGACAAGTATGCTAAAAGCAGCGCTGTCTGGAATAAGCAAAGTCTGAAGACAATCTGAATGTCCAAAATTAGTGATCTGCTTAAATAAAGGTGTTACATCTATATAAAGAAATATGATGTAACCATAAAAGAACAAGGAAGCTCTTCACATATTGACATGGAAAAGTCTGTAAAATACATTGTTAACAGCAAATAAGAATCCTATCGTTTGTGTAAAAAAGAAGAAAAATAATAATACATGTGAGAAAGAGGGGGATGTATATTTGCTTGTACATAAATAACATACCTCTGGAATGACAGATAAGAAATTAGTAATACCAGCTGCATTTTGAGTGGGTAGGGGCCAAAGTTAGAAGAAAACTTTACCCTATATACCCTATATTTATATTTTATGCAGTATAAACCATGTCCTGTTTTTTTTAAAAAAAAAGAGATTAAAAATAAGAATGAATGATCTCCATTATTCTGGTAAATGCAGGCTCATTTTACTTTTGTGCATATTAATTGAATGTACTGCCATTTAACTTATAAGAATTAATACTTAGGGCTGGGTGCAGTAGCTCACACCTGTAATCCCAGCACTTTGGGAGGCTGAGGTAGGTGGATCACTTGAGGTCAGGTAAGACCAGTCTGGCCAACATGGCGAAACCCAGTCTCTACCAAAAATACAAAAATTAGCTGGGTGTGATGTCGCGTGCCTGCAATCCCAGCTACTCTGGAGGCTGAGGCACAAGAATGACTTTAACACAGGACGCGGAGGTTGCAGTGAGCCGAATCGTGCCACTGTACTCCAGTCTGGGTAACAGAGCAAGACTCTATCTCAAAAAAAATAAAAATAAAAATAAAAATAATACTTTAAGAACTTAAAGCTTGCTACCTCAACTCCTTTTTAATAGAAAAAACAATTTGTCAAAATCATCTTACATACCTGTAATTTCTGTGGTGTCAAACACCATGAATGAGCTTGTTGCTGTACTGGAGGATGTGACACAGCATGTCCACCACTCCAATTGTCAGAAGTATTCTGAGGAAAATCGATTTAAAAAAAATTAAAGAATATTTGGTTAAATCTACAGTTAATAATAATGGTTAGAGGAGGCCAAATGACTATGAATTGGAATATTTACATGTTAAAAAGATGTTATAACATTAAATTCTTTAAAAAATAATTTTACATGCATATTACACTTAGAAATCATACATTTAAAAATTACTGACTATTTAATAAGCCACCCAAAAAGGCCCACCCTCAAACTATGGCCCAAACAGCTAGCCTAAATACCACACTGTCCACTAGATCCAACATTAAATTTATTTCAATGTCAGTAAAAAGTGATGATGAAAAGTGTGCTGAGATCTTAACGGCAGGGAGATGAATAAAATGATTTGATGAATGCAAATTTATCCCTACTTTCTATATTTAATATGATACTAAGGGTTTGGGATGGAAAAACTCAAACCTTTCACTCTTTGATGTCCACAAATTTAAAATAAAGGACAGGAAATGTTCAAACTGCACAATTTCAGGGCAGCTGAAGCTTCTTTTTTGACTGGGATTTTCTATTTCTCTAAAACATATACCTTTGTTGGACTAGATGTTCTTTTCCTCTTGGCAGGACTGGACAGGTCATCTACTTGGCTAGAAGGAATCATGTGTAGTGGCAAGGATTGCTGTGAAATTGGTGTTTGACTGAGGCCTAATACAGGTTCAGTATTTGGATGATGAGGTTTACATGCCTAAGAATCACAGAAGGAAGACAAAAATAGGGTTCTATATATTCTTAATTCATTCCTTCAAATTATAAAACTTTACAAGCTGCATACTTTTCAAAGCTATGTGGACATCGCTGATTGCAATGATTGAAAATCAAAATTAAATGATTCATCAATGGAATAATGTGTACCTTCCTTTCAAAAACTTGCCTTAAAAATTAAACAAACCACTGTAGCATTATTTTAAGAAATCTCCTTCAAAATCATGAAAATGCACAAAGGTTCTAAGTTGGTACCCCAAAATCTCTTCCCATATTAGAGGGAATTTTATTTTGATCTAGATTCCCTTTGCAATTAAATCAAAAGGCTTTTCATTACTAAAAGCCTCCTGTGCTTTGTAAATTAAGCTTGACCACTAGAGAATTGAAAAGAACCCTTAAAGCTGGGCACCTGCAGAACATAACCCAACTTCTCACCTGCTGTGCTGTGTTCATGGCACCCTGCCTGGAGGTAAGCTCTGCGGGAATTGGTAGGCTCCACGCCTCCTCAATACTAGGAAGTAATTTAGTTTTATTCTGTAGACTACCTTGTGGAAGGTTACACAACTGAGCCTAGGAAAAATTATGTAAAAAGCAAATTTAACACAAGCCTACTTGAGTAAGAGCAAGTCCACTAAATCTTCCTAAATGCTATAGCTAATTGTTTTTTAAAAGAAAATAGATTCTAAATTTGGGGCTTTAGAAGACACTAAATATAAAGAGGGTAACCGGAATATAAACCTTTGTGAGAATCAAAACAAAGCTTGAGCTCTGTTTTCAGAGTTCTCATAGCTGTCTTCTCATGAAACTCCAAGCAAGAGTGAAAGACTGTTTGTGTTTTCTCTAAAATGCTATGACAACTTAAAAATGTAGACAGTACATAGAAAAAAATTATGTAAATTAATATGCATCAACAGAGTAAATGTGCAAAAGAGCATCTTTTAAAATACTGCATATCTTACTTAAAATGAAAAGTAAAATAATATTACAAGCTATGGTATGTTTACAAAATATGGAAACAGATTATAGACATCAAAACACAACTAGACAAACTTTCCAGCCACCCTCCTTCTGCCTGAGTGTTCTGGGGAAATATGTGGCTTTAAAAAAGTGCTATGTAAAAATTTTACCTGTAAATACTTAATTCGTGCTGCAAGTGCAGAGGTATTACTACAACTTTTGCTTCTAGTTGCATTTAAGTAGCATTTAATAGCATCCTGAGGCTGGTTGCAGGATTCATACAGAGTGCCTAGGTCCATCCAGGCTGCAGCATGGCCATGGTCCAATTGTACAGCACAAATATAGGCCTGTAAAGCATCCATGGGCTGATTTTGCTGCTGATATAGCACACTGGAAAGAGAAATTAAGAAAAAATAAGTCAACTCAGAAAACTGCTTGGTTTTATAATGATTTAAACTATGAAGTATAATATATGTGATGTAACCATCTTTGTATATCAATTAAATTACTACTATTTTTATACAAAGTCTTACCCTATTGAACACCATGTATCTGCACTTGCTTCTGATTTATCAATAGACTGCCTGTAAGATATAAAGGCATCCTGAACTTTCCCAATACTTGAATAGCACCTGAGAAGGGAGGGGGAAAAAAAAAAAATCAAAAGAATTCCATTAATACTGAAACAAATTAATCGGCTGAAAGGATAGACTATATATCACAGCAAATTTTTTAAAAACCCTAATAAGCTAATATATTTATGTGTGTGTGTGTATATACACTTGGTAACTATAATGAATATTATAATTAGCCCTCCAGCAAACCATATTATAGTCTGTCTTATAGGTGCTAAAAAGCATGCTGCATTAATGAACTCTATTACAATGATTAGGGGACATATCACTTCAATATTATAATACTGAGAGCTGCATGCATGCGTGCACACACACACACACAAGCCACTCTTCTTATATAGCTGACCTCTAGTTCCCTATACCGTCAAAATACAGAGTTAAAAACAAAAACACTATACGTTGGTAAGAATTGCTGTATCAGATTTCAATTTTCCTTTCCCAAGTAACAACACTGAGGGCAATAATTCTTTAATTCATAAAAAAAAATGCACATGTAAGACCCAGTTAATCTCAAACTAAGTATCAAAAATAGTATAAAGTAAAAAGTAAAAATAATATATAAAGTATAGTATTTTATGACTAGTAAAGCAAGCAAGGTAAGATTAACGATTCAAGGACTGTCATTTTCTTAATGTGAATATACATGAATACATGGATAATGGCTGAAATTATAAATACTGAAATTATCTTCTTATTCTTGGCACTAAAGGAAAAAGAAAAAAAACAAAAACCCAGTCCCTATTTTCATGAAGCTTACAATTTAGTTGAGGACTGAAGATACATTAAAAATGTCATGATACCATAGCAAATGGCCAGTATAGGCAATAATTGGCCTGAGAATTTAGGATAAGAAAAGACCATCATATACTGCAAGTTTCAGGAAAGGCCCCCCCAAAAAAGGGAAGAGTAAGAGTAAGGGATTTGAGTATGTAAAGATGCATATTATTTAGTGATTCCTAATTGCCAACCAGTATATGGCACGTTTGCCAAGCAAACAAATTGGAAAGACAACACACACATACGTACATAATTTTTCCAATAAACGAATTAATATTTATGCTGTAATGCTCTTATTTTGGATATTATTGGCTGACAGTAAATTGCAAAAAAAATGTCCATGTCTTTACTTGCCCAAACACCATATTTCTATTCTCATAATTATTCTTTGAAATTGTACTGATTTATGTAACCTAAAATTCTGGGAACCACTGATTCAGGCAGAGAAGATGAGAAAAGGCATTTTAAATGGGTTTGAACAGCATGAGCAAAACCTAATGTATATACAAGAAAGCACAGACACAAAACAGTAGAGAATTTTAAATCCAGCCAAAGATTACCCTAAAGTTTGCTTTTCTAACAAGGAGAGCAGTACATTGAAAGCACTTTATAGGAATATTAATTTTCTAACAATACGGAGGGCAGACTGAAAGGAAAATAAGTTATAGACAGTAAAAATAGAGGGTGGCTACATTCACTGGTTGGGAACAGGCCAAAATTGGAGTTAAAGTACTGAAAGTGGCAAGAAAAAAAGATGAGAGAAACAAGAAACCAACAGATTGGTAAAGACTTTGTGATTGATTGATTAGATGTTCACAGGGTGGGGGTTGTAACTTAGTAGTTAACCTTGATTTTAAAAAATGGTGATCTTTTGGCAAAAGTTAAAGGAGAAGGAGCTGGTTTGGGGAAGAATATGGTGAATATAGTTTGAAATATGCTGACTTTGACATGATGTGAGGACATTAAAATGGGAAATGTTAAGTAAAGAATAGGAGATGTAGTCCTGGAGTTTAAGATACCTTTAAGTGTTGAAATCTAGATTTGGAATTCATCCATATGGAAGAGAGGCTGTAAAAACATAGGACACCTACAAGGGAGATGTAAAAGCCTAACGAATCACTAATCTTGTGGTTTGAAAGGTATAAGAAATGTCCATGATTGAGAAGGCAGTTTCAGAGAGCATCTACAAACTGTTTTATGAAGGAAAAATTCATAAGAAGAGATCAGCAGTAATGCCAAACAGGAACAGACACCAGCGTGAAAGGGAATGCTTAACAGATAGTAGAAAACATGCTGTTTTGTAGTTGTTGTGAAATCAAAGCCATCTCAGATTTATAGACAAATCTGCCTAACTGCTGGGAGAAATAAGCAGTTCTTCCCAAAACCAATGTTTTAACATTCCATTCCTACAAAATCGAAGTAGGAAACCAATGTGCCCAGATACAGATGTCCAACCATCAACCACTTTTCCTCTAATAAAAGTAGGTTCCTCTGAGACAGTCTTGTGTAATTAAAAAAGCCCAGGGTGAACCTAGGGTCTAATCCCTGCTATCATACTAATTATCTGTGATTATGAACCCACTTTCTAAATCTTTGAAGTGACAGGATTTACAAGGTTAACCAGGTGACCTCCCTGGTCCTTCCCAGTTGTAATATTCTACAGTTCTGTGATAACACAGTCAATGATTGGTGCTAGCATAACAGAATATCACATTACAATTTTACTTCGATATACAAGTGCCAAATGACAAGCAAAGTCCATCTTCAACACAGACCTGAAGGCAGAGGTTAAGTAATAGAAAGCCTCAAAAATATTAGGGTCATCAAACCCCAAAATTTCTTACTGACAACTGAGGTCTTCATTTGGAACTTTAAAAACATCTAAAACATAATTCATTCATAATATCTTTCTCATAAGAAACAGATTAGAAACAACACATTAGAAGGCAGTAAAAGAGAATAAGAAAAGTCTAAAGGATTTAGAATTTTATTATTACAGATGGAAAATAATATGTCTAAAATGATAACCCTGAACCCGAAACCAAGATAAATTGTGATAAGTATCCTTTATTTATTTAGTCAGGAAAAGTATATTGTATATTTGGGAAATTTTACCCAAAAAATTACCCAAAAAGATTAAATTAAAAGCATCGTAATGTTTTACAATGTAAAATTAGTTAACTGGAAAAAAAAATTATAAAATACTGCCCACTGAAATACTGATGATGAAATACTGCTCATTGAAGTTAAAAATTACAGCATGACTATGATAGTTAATTCTACACATGGCTCATTATAATTTTATACAACTAGAATTTAAATTTAAAAACCTATACTAAAAAGACATCTACACTACTATATTAAACCATCTTAGGTCAGAAGGAAAATACTTTCCAGTATACATTCCTTTTAATCTACGCTAAAAGAAATTTTCATACATAAACCTGAAAACAAGAGACAGGCACCCACTGTTTCCCAGTTTCAGACCTCCTTTACAATCACTACATGAAGCCTCACACTCCACAACACTAATAGTAATAGTGCTAGCTCCAAAAGCAAATGGAGTTTAGTTAGTTCATTTCATCCATTTATCGAATAGCCACTTTGTCAGGTAAAAAGATACAAAAATAATAAAATCCAGTTTCTGCTCCTGTAGAAGAGAAACACAAAAGTTTGGACCCTCCAGCTTTATTTAGAAGCAACCCAAATTAGGCTCTTTTACAAGCCTGGGGAGGGATTAGGAAATCCTCACCAAAAAATAGGTACCTTTCCAGTCAACTCTTATTGTATGTTAATAATGAATTAATGAAATGTTTTTTAAAAAAATTTTCCTTAACCTTCTTCTAAGCATAGTATGAGTAATCAAATATTTTTAGAGAAGGAACCATATTAATATTACTTTGTCTCATACAAGCATACTTTCCTTAAAGGAAAACTGAAGCCATACAATGAAAATTTAATGTGATTATATGGCAAATTTACTTACAATTAGGTATTCTATGTAAAAAGTAACAGAAAACTTAAAGTTAAAACACAATAATTTCAAAAGAAGTCATAAAATTGGAACCTTTAAAGCAGGAAGGTATCTAACAGATCATCTAACCCAGGGTTTCTCAACTACAGCATTACTGACATTTGGGGCCACCCAGTTCTTTGCTGTAGAGGACTGTCCTGTGCATTGTAGGATGTTGAGCAGCATCCCTAGTCTCTACCCACTATACGAAAGTAGCACACCCCACAGCTGTGATGAAAGAAATAAATGTCTCTAAATATTGTGAAAAGTCCTTGGCTGGGGTAGGGGTGGCAAAACAGCCTGCCCCTGAGGACCACCGATCTAATACAATTCTCTAATACGTTAAACAAAAATTGAGGCTTTAAGAGGTTTAACTAAACCATGCACAATTCCACAAACAGTAGCTGAATCAGGACTTGAATCCAAGCGTCTTGGCTCCTAGTATGATCTTTTCACCATATCATGAAAGCGAAAAGTGATTAGGAATCAAAATACAATCTGATGATAGTCTAAAACTATAATCTATCAGATACTCATGCATGAGGTATAGTTCAGATCATCACTAAGCATAATTCAGACATTCAATGGATAAACAGTATGGAGAAATGGTTATAGACTTGCAGAAAACGATTTTCGTTACATGACACTTCTCCATTCCAACAAATCTGATACACTTTCTCACTGTAAGACTTCAAGTATAACTGTGATTTGAGATTTACTATTAATTATGTCAATTCTAAGGTAAATATTAATCAAAATTATAAATTATTAAGGTTCCACTGACTACCAATAGTCAACAGGCAGATGAGAAATTAATCCTGTTTTATAAAACAGACATATAGAAAAAAACTGGAAATCTGAAGGAAAGGCATTTAAATACTTCATTAAAAGTTACTATCAGATAAGACTTTTTTAAAACTAGCAATAACTCAAATCAAATAAAAATCCAATAACCAAAATAAGAAATGTCCTGCCAGACCAAAAATTATGCTTTTGGAAACTTTATTTTATTGTTTAACTTCCCGGAATCTTGGTAATAATGTACTCAGAAGAGAAAATACACTGATCAGGTTAGATATGTAAACTAACATTTTAGATTGTAATTAAAATCTCTTAGCTGGAATAGACAAAAGCAAACATAAATGTCTTGTAAGTCTCACCTTCCGAGGAAATACCAGGACTGGCCAGAATTAGGATCTGCTTCCAAGGACTTTTGGAGATACTGAATAGCATAGCTTTCCTTGGTGGCTTTATCTCCCAGGAGATCTACAGTGTGATGCATCCAACCTACAGTAAATGATTTAAAAATATTTACGTAAATGACTTAAAAATATTTACGTAAATGACTTAATTGTTCTTCTATGTTTAAGAATACCAAGTAGAAAATAAACCAAAAAAGTATTCTTTTCTGTCAATTTATTAATTTAGTTTGTAGTACATATTTCCAAAATTTAGAACCGCCAATTCCGGCCGTTAAGAAAGTCAGTTTCTCACAGTAAGGTAGTAAAAGCTATGAAGAGCTTTCATTCAAGAGAAATTAAAACAATTTTTAGTACTGATACAACAGATTATAAATCAGACTTTTCTAATTTTGATATCTGAAAAAATTTCAAGTTATGAAACAAAGAATATAAAGATGTTAAGTCTTATTTACTATTCCATATAAAAATAAAATAATGGGCTTTTTTTTTTTTTTTTTTTTTTTTTTTTTTTTTTTTTTTTTTTTTTTTTTTTTTTGAGACAGAGTCTCGCTCTTTTGCCAGGCTAGAGGGTCTGCAGTGCAATCTTGGCTCACTGCAACCTCCGCCTCCCGGATTCAAGCAATTCTCCTGCCTCAGCCTCCTGAGTAGCTGGGACTATAGGCGCGTGCCACCACGCTAAGCTAATTTTTGTAGTTTTAGTAGAGACAGGGTTTCACCATGTTGGTCAGGATGGTCTTGATCTCCTGACCATGTGATTCACCCACCACGGCCTCCCAAAGTGCTGGGATTACAGGCGTGAGCCACAGCACTGGGCCAATTAAGAATCTTCAAGACATTCCATTAACAAAATGTTTATTTCCAAGGAATAAATATAAGGCTATAGAATCAATGATAGTTCAGATTAAAAAATATACACACAATCCTACCTCACTGGCCCTGGCTACATATATTCACATCCTATATAAGATAAGAACTATAAGCCAGGCATAGTGGCTCACACCTGTAATCCTAGAATTTGGGAAGGCTGAGGCAGAAGGACCACTTGATGCCAGGAGTTTCAGACCACCCTGGGCAACAGAGAGAGAGACCTTGTCTTTACAAAAGAAATTTTTAAATCAGCCAGGCGTGGTGGCATGCGCCTGTAGCCCTAGCTACTCGGGAGGCTGAGGTGGGAGGATCACCTGACCTGAGGAGTTTCAGGCTGCAGTGAGTTATGATCACGACACTATATTCCAGCCTGGGGGACAGAGCGAGACTCTGTCTAAAATAAATAAGCAAACAAACTATAAAGTATTTGATACGGTGGCTCAAGCCTGTAATCCCAGCACTTTGGGAGGCCGAGATGGGCGGATCACGAGGTCAGGAGATCGAGACCATCCTGGCTAACGCAGTGAAACCCCGTCTCTACTAAAAATACAAAAACTTAGCCGGGCGAGGTGGCAGGCGCCTGTAGTCCCAGCTACTCGGGAGGCTGAGGCAGGAGAATGGCGTGAACCCGGGAGGCGGAGCTTGCAGTGAGCTGAGATCCGGCCACTGCACTCCAGCCTGGGTGACAGAGCGAGACTCCGTCTCAAAAAAAAAAAAAAAAAAAAGTATTTGATAAATGAAAAAACAAATATTGCCTTCATAATAAAGCCTGAGTTTTGTCTGTAATTTTATCCATTAGGATTTTACTCGAGTTGTCTATACTTTTAAGAGTTATAAAAGTGTCAAAATATTTGTTTTTATTCAGTGATTTATAATTATTAAATTTTTATATATATTATCTAAAGATAAATGATAAAATCTAAGCTTAAGTGACTTTAAAACTATATAATAAATAGTTACATTATGAAAACATTCATATTGCTACAATGTTGGCTAAAAATTAAGAATAAATGATTTTCCCAGACCAAAAACAAAACTGAAAAAACAACCCAAATATCAAATACAAACAAGAAACATGACTCAATAATTAAGCAACAAAATTAAAGGCTGGGGAGTTCTTTCACTATCTTTTTGGTGATAGCTACACATGACATCCAAACGAACAGATTCCCTCATGTTACACATTAGAATAGAACTGCATGCTCACAGTGTTAGACGCTCTACAGTTTTTAGATAAATTGTTTTATAGTCATTGTAACTGATAAAGCTATGAAAGCAAGCTCACCAACCACTGAGTGACATTAGATAAATCACAACTTCATTAAGTGCTTAGGCATATATCTGGCACAAAGAAAGTACTGAATCCTCCTTGGGTTAAATACTAGGGAGTAATTTTGATAATTTAAAAGGACCAGCTATACTAAAAAATTATACTGAGACAGACTGTGGGAAGGACAATGCTAGGCAGAGAATAGAAATATGCTGGGTTCAGAATAATTTTATCAACTCTGAGCAAAAGAATAGAATATATGAGCCACATATTTGCCATACTCAACATGTAAAAAACATAAAGAGAAGCATTTATAATACACTAAATGTATACTATTACATACCTAACTGTTGTAAGACAGTTGCTTTTACTTGTGCAGAAAGATTCTCTGTCTGCAAAAGTTGTTCATAAGCTTCTTTTGCAGAATGATATTTCCTCTAAAGAGCAGAAAAAGAGATTTGGAGAAAAATTAACATAATCTTTAAAGAACTACTTCATATATTAAGAATTATACAATACTGATGTTTTAGCATATTTTTAAAAACTAAAAGAAAAAAGTGCTGATTTCATTATTGAATGTTTAACATTAGACAGCTGAGTAATAAGCCTTGTTCCAGAGTACCTAACACCAGTAAAACTGACATTCACTATAACAAAGTATCACTAAAATACGACTTAAGAATTTTCCAAATGCCAATATCATCATCTCAAATTTAATAACATAAGTAGTCTCAATTTTATTTAATAACATTAATGAATCAAGAGACGTATTCTACCTCCAAGTGCATAATCTGTCCGCCTAGAAACACTGAGCTCCCAAGCAACTCAATAAATAGAGCACATGTCAGGCCGGGCGCGGTGGCTCACGCCTGTAATCCCAACACTTTGGGAGGCCGAGGCAGGCGAATCACGAGGTCAGGAGTTCAAGACCAGCCTGGCCAACATAGTGAAACCACGTCTCTACTAAAAATACAAAAATTACCCAGGCATGGTGGCAGGCACATGCAGTCCCAGCTACTCAGGAAGCTGAGGCAGGAGAATCGCTTGAACCCAGGAGGCGGAGGTTGCGGTGAGCAGAGATTGCACCACTGCACTCCAGCCTGGGCAACAGAGCGAGACTCTGTGTCTAAATAAATAAATAAATAAAGCACATATAAAAAATGCTGTAGACAAAATCTAAAGAAGTACAAAAGTAATTAAAAATCTAAGTTTTAAAGATACAGTTTCTGGTGTATATAAAATATCCTTTAAAAATATTTATAACAAATATAATTTTAAAGACATCAAAACTCTGATAGTTACAGCCTAACAATGTTTGCAAGACTTAGGATTTCACAGGCAAATGTCTAAATGAAACCATTTAGCCACAGTTCTCAAGACTACTGATATAACTAAAACTCTTTATTGCTACAGTTATAAACCTTAAGACAACTCCCCCAAAACAAAAGGAAAAAACTAACAAAAGAAAGGCTCATAAATATTACCTGCAAAACATACTTGGCAGAACAATGGATTGAAGTGGCTTTTATTCGTATCATTACCAGTATATAACTGCCTGAGCAAACAAATTTTTTTTTTAAAAAAAGTAGGTAGAAATACAAAACTAGCTGTATGAACCTCAGGCAAGTCACTTAAACTATGATTCAACATCAATAAACAACTGAAGCAATAAAACAAGAGCTAACATCCAATCTTGCTACCTACAGGGTTATCCTAATGATGGGAACAATTAAGGAACTACACACACACACACACACCCACCACTAACATAAGGAAGATTTGAGAGAACTGTCCATTAAGATGATCAGGGGTTTTTCCGTTTGTTTTTTTGAGACGGAGTGTCGCTCTTGCTGCCCAGGTTGGAGTGCAATGGCACAATCTGAGCTCACTGCAACCTCCGCCTCCCGGGTTCAAGTGAATTCTCCTGCTTCAGCCTCCTGAGTAGCTGGGATTACAGGCATGCGCCACCACACCCGGCTACTTTTGTATTTTTAGTAGAGACGGGGTTTCTCCATGTTTCCCAACCTCAGGTGATTCGCCCGCCTTGGCTTCCCAAAGTGTTGGGATTACAGGTGTGAGCCAGCGCGCCAAGCAATCCGGAGTTATTAAATCAACTTTTACTTATCAGCTAAACTGGTTCCCCCCGAACACTCATCTGGTCTAAAAAAGTTAATTAAATAGTTAGGCCAAGGATAAGGGTCAAGTTATTCAATTCCTTCAATTGATAAATATTTGTTAAACACCTAATACATAACAGGAACTGCTAAGACTACACAGTAGTGAAAAATATATACAGAAAAAACAAATTAAGCATATTGTGCTGTGTATAACATTATAATACTTCTCAGAGGAAAAACGAGCACATATTAAGTTTAGAGTACTAGCAGGCTGGACAGAAAATGCAAAGATTACTTCACAAAGACCTCCCTAATCTATTTAAAGACTACTGACTGTATCCTGAAACAATGGAGAACCACTGAATGATTTCAAGTAATGTGATCTGACGTAAATTTTAGGAAAACCACCTTCCTGAATTATCTTAACAAATGTTAAAATATACCTCCCAGTACTGTAATAAAAATAATGACATACTTGAAAAAATGGTAGCATCATATTTGGAAATATGAAGTTAGATTTCTACCTCATACCATATAAAACAAAACCAGCAACTGCATTAAAGACCTGAATATGAAAGGTAAAAGTATAAAGTTAAGAGAAGAAAATGTAGGAGAACATTTCCTTGAGATGGGAGATAATTTATTGGACATGATCAAAAAAACACAAATCATAAAGAAGAGCAAAGATCTGACTCAAAAAGCATAGGCAGAAAAACAGGCAATGGACATAAGTAACCCAACACATAAAAGGTGAAAAAAAAATGTAAAAAACTATACTCCTCTAGAAATCAGAACATACAAGTTTAAATGACATAACATCTTCTACCTTTAAGACTGGAAAACATAAATTTGAGTAATTCCAAGTATTGCAGGGATGTGAGTAAAGGAGAACACTCATGTCCTGGTGGAAGGGGATTTACTCAAAAAATTAGGAATAGAAATATCCTACAATTCAGCAATCTTACTCTTGGAATATGTATGCCAAGGAAACCTTTCCACAGGTAATGTTCTGAACAGTACTGCTTGCAATATGGAGAAGTTGGGGGGCAATCTAAGTTTACGCCACTAGACAAGTGGAAACAAAATATGATGGATGCTTATAGAACATTAAATAGGAATTACAAATGATGTGTAAAAAAGTAACATGAATTTATCTTTAATAGTGTTGAGTAGAAGTTTTGCCTCTGACAATATTTGGAGTGGCATTCCACACACAGCTTCACATTCTGGATGAAATATAAAAGTCAACTACCAGATGGCACTGGAGAGAAACCAAAATCAGGCAAAACCAAAGGAAAAGTTCACACTTAAAGGAAGGAAATGGCACTAGATGAGTAACCCCCTTTTTCTTGGATTTTCACCTGAAGGCAGGCTTCAACTGGTACTTGGCTGGCTAGAACTCAAATAGAAATGGCAGTCTTACTACCCTGAAGAATCATAGGACAGATTTTGAGGCTACCATAAGAGTTGGAAGCAAGGGGAGAAATCCCAGTCAGGAGACAGAGTGGAAACACCAAATTCCACACATAAAACTCTGCCCAAAGCTCTAACTGCTGAATTATGCATAAACAGAACAGATAATGAGCAGCCTAAAAGAACTAGAAAGAGATTTCAGTTGCTGCCATTACAAGGGTGACAAAGTTTAGAGTGTGAATTGACTGGCTAATGAAGCAAAAATATATCAATCTTCAGAAAAATATAGTCAATCTCTACAATGTATTATTCATGATATGCAGGATAAAAAATATTAAATTTATGAAGATCAGGAAAATTTTACCTATATTCAAAAGAAAAGAAAATGAAAACCAACTGTGAAATTACTCAGATGGTGAAATTTGTAGTTTTTTATTTTTATTTTTTTGAGACGCACTCTCACTGTGTCGCCCAGGCTGGAGTGCAGTGGCACAATCTTGGCTCACTGCAACCTCTGCCTCCTGGGTTCAAGCAATTCTCCTGCCTCAGTCTCCCAAGCAGCTAGGATTACAGGCGTGCCACCACATCCGGCTAATTTTTTGTATTTTTAGTAGAGATGGGGGTCTCGCCATGTTGTCCAGGCTGGTCTCGAACTCCTGACCTTAGGTGATCCGCCAGCCTTGGCCTCTCAAAGTGCTGGAATTACAGGCAACAGCCACCGCGCCTAGCCCTGTAGATAATTTTAAAGCAGATATTTAGGCTGGGTGTGGTGGCACGTGCCTGTAGTCCCAGCTACTCGGAAGGCTGAGGCACAAGAATCGCTTGAACCTGGGAGGCAGAGGTTGTGTTGAGTCGAAATTATACCACTGCACTCCAGCCTGGGCAACAGAGCCAGATACTGTCCCCCCCCCAAAAAAGGCAGATATTTGAACAATGTTGACAAAAAGAAAAACATAATCCTAATGAATTAATGTACAAAAAATCATACTCCAGAAAGAGAAACAAAAGGAAATTCCAGAACTAAAAAATGTTAATCTGATATTTAAAAAAGAAAATCACTATATGGACTGAATAGCAGATTGGAAAGTATATTAAAAAAAAAAAAAAGAAAGAAATCAGTGCATTTGAAAACATGTCACTAGAAAGCATACAGACTGAAGTGGAAAAAAAAACACACACACATACATACAAAAGTTAAAAGTTAAAAAAAAAAAAAAAAAAGAAGGCATCTAAGATGTAAAAAAAAAAAAAAAAAAAAAAACCATACATGTAATTGGAGTCCAAGAAGAGAAAAACGGTGGAGCAGAAAAAATATTTGACAAATCAATGGCTGAGAATTTTCCAAAACTGATAAAATATATCAAACCCCAGACTTAAAATACTATTAGTATAATTATAAAGAAAAAAAATCTGAGCACATTGAAGTCAAATTTTTGAAAATCAAATATAAAGAGAAAGACCTTTTAAAAGCAACCAGAGCAAAACAATACAATACAAAGGATACAATAGGAATGACAGCTAACTTTATCCAACCATATCAATAATCAAATTAAGTATAAATGAACTAGACACTCCAAACCACCACCACCACCATCACCACCACCAATAAAAGAGACTGCCAGAATAGATTTACAAAAGGAAGAGTCAAGAACATTATATTTATGGGATGGACATTACAGGCCCTAAGAATTTAAGAACAATACCTTTAATCATATACTCAGTTTCTACATGTACTTGGGTCTACTCCTGGGCTTTCTAGGATATTTCGCTGATCTGTCTATTCACATGCCAGTACCACATTTTTAATTATACAGGTTTTATTGGGTTAGTATATCCCATACAATCCTCCCACCCCTGTTTTATCCTAGCAATTTTTGCATGTTTTTCCATATCAACTTAGCTAACTC